CAAAATTTCTAATACTTAGTAAAATAAAATACAAACTTTAATTTTCCATATTTTTTAAAATATAATAGCAGTTCATTCAATCCATTCATATCAATTTGTCCAAACAAACGATTTCTAAAACCTTCAATCTCTTTCAGTTCCTAAAATCTTCAATCTCGTTCGGAGATTATTCTCACACCTACCCAGCCACCACGCCCACAGCTAATAAATATTAATACCCCCAAGATAATATACTATAGGCTAAAATCTATGATTGGTCATTCAACTTTATGAGCTGTGCACGTTTGGTTCTTCAATTTTCAAAAATTTATAAATAGTCCTTCAAGTATTCATAACCATCGACATACAGTTCCTCAATATTCAAAAGTCCATAAGTTGCCTTTCAAGTATTCATTAACCCTCAAAATGCAGTCCTTTTTACAATACATGTTTAAAAAAACATATCACTACTTATATATATATATATACACACACACACATACATGCATGCATATATATATATATATATATATATATATATATAGTACATACAGGAAATTAACGGGTTTCCACAATTCCAATCAAAGTTTTGTATTTTTTAATGTACAAATTGAACCTCTTTGAAAGTAAAATTATCTCCAGCATTTACAATGGGAGGAAAGATTTGCTGTGCTGCTCTGAAGATGGGGACAGCGCCGGGCACCCATTGCAGGTCGGAAGTTGCATCTGGCACTGAGCCGGAATTTATATATATGGAGCTAGTTGCATATGGCACCTATTGCAGGTCGGAAGTTATATATATGGAGTTAGTACTTTGTTTAGCTTTTAACGTATACCGTAAAAAGGACTACATTTGGAAGGTTAATGAATGCTTGAAGGACTACTTATGGACTTTTGAAACTTGAAGGACTAGATTTAGAGGTTGTTAAATACTTGAAAGACTATTTCTGAACTTTTGAAACTTGAAATACTAATTGTGCACAGCCCACAAAGTTGAAGGACTAATGGTGGACTTTAGCCTATACTATACCATACCATATACTAAAAAGAAAGAAGTAAAAGTATTTATTTTTATTAAACTCCAAAGCCAAAAACAAAAAATATGTGGAGTATCAGAGATATGGGAAATAATGGAACGTTCACAGTCCAAAGGGAATATGGAGGGGGGGGGGGTCTCATGCTAAAGTTCCAAACATAAAGTTCACTAAGTCATTCATCAATGGAGAGTTTGTGGATTCTCTTTCAGGTTCTTCTCTTATTAGTTAGGTAAGTATAGTTAAGCAGGTTTAGTTTATTTCTTGTCTACCTTGGTATTTAAGTAAGATATTTCATAGCAATTAGCAAAGATTTTAGATTATTACTTAATATTTAACCCTAGATTTTAAAGCCAAAGAATGAAAGTATGAAAGATTGAAAAAGATCCCTAGATTAATTAATAATACCTGACGGGCTGCCAGCGATGTCTGGCGGGAAAAGAATAGGCAAGTGGCCGACTAGCAGAGGCGTCTCTGTAGTCTCTTTGATTTCCGGCAATTCTTGAAGGCCGAATCAAAGGGGGAGTCGGGGAAACGAAGGGGAAATGGACAAGAGACAGGACTTGGACCTGTTTTATTTGGGATTTTGGGAACTAGTAGTACACTGCATTGCACGGTTCATAAATGTATCATGCTGCTATGGCATTCATGGATATGAATTAGCACATTACATTAAGCAAATATTTTTTTAAAGTACCTATTAAAAACATTTTATATGAATTTTCATACCTCATAGACCAAGGTTCTCATCGTGCTAGTCTGCATATTAAGAAATTTGACACATTCCTTATCCCAAACTATTAAAAAAGCACTATCCGAGCTGTCAATAAAAGGACACTGATCTTGTACATATCAAATAAAGTGTATATTTTTTTATCAAATTTTAAATTGTCATTAATTAATTTATTAAAATTAAAAAATATATATTTTATAACCTATACACTCCATCGGGATAATCTCTCTTGCATTTAAATCGTGAACCATCTGGCACAATCTTACTGTTGCATGCCTTACAACCAAGTTAGCATCATTCAATTGTGTTTTCACTTTCAACCACATCACTAATTATCCCATGATATCTCTTCTGCAAATAATAATAAATATATTATTAAGGAAAATAAGAAAAATTTTCATCTTTAGTTTCATTCATATATTGTAGTTCATTGAAGTTACATACTTATATCGTTTTCGTTATTAAATTATTTTCGCGCATAGTCAGAAATGTTTATCTAGTCTTACATTATTCTATAAATAATCACACATTAATTCCTCGTTACATTTAATATTACACAAAGTATGAAAATTTTAAAAATGAATTTAAATTTTAAGTTTAATATCAACATCACACAAAAGTACATGTACATTTATATACTTTTAAAGATTTTTTGAAATAATTTCATGGAGCTTACTTTAATTTTATTTTAATACTTTTTTCTATTTTTGGTATTTAATTAATTATCTTACAATTTTCATAGCTTTGAGATCTCGGATGGATATTATTGTCATATCCGTAATGCGTGGATCAGCCTTTGTTCCAGATTACGTGGATATGATGCTACACATTTGAGATAAATTATCTCCACTGCATGATAATAAACAGAAAATTTATTTAGTAATTAGATCAAAACTATAAATTAAAAATAGTATTAACTTACTCTGTTCTGAAGTCTTTAACTTCGTCTGAGTCATCATTCATATCCTTTATAATATATAAATCCTAAATTGGGCCAATGCTCAATTTATTGGTATTCTCTCGATGGGATTAGTTCCCATCACATGCCTCTTTTTTTACAAGTCAAAAAATAAAAAAAAATTGGCCGTACTATACCTTGCATTTTCAAATTTGGAAAGCTCTTGATTTTGTTATCTGCCGAAGATTCCTTTCTTTTGGAAAAGAGTAAATTCCATAATTGGTTCTTTATAACAGGGGGGGTTTTCATATTTAGTCCTCTATTATCAAATATTACTTCCGTAGTCCTTTTTTTAAGGGTACCTTTCCATAAATGGTCTTTTTTTGATCTTTTGCCGTGTTAGTGTTAATTTAAAGGCTAAAAGTATAATTTGACGTCAACATTATGTCTAGTGACGTGTTCTGATATTGGTTAAGCGGATAACACAAAACTAATGACTAAAATTGTGAGCTAGGATTCTGACGAAAGATCACATTTGTAGACTATAGTTGTCGTAAAAAGCGACTGTAATTCACAAACGACGCAAAAGGAACAGCCTTTGGAATTGTGTATGACAAAAAAGATATATTATCATTGTGAAATTACACTTTTAGTCCTCAAATTAACACCAACATGATAGAAGATCAAAAAAGGACTATTTGTGGAAAGGTACCATAAAAGAAGGAATACTTGGGTAATATTTGATAATAGAAGACTAAATAGAGAAACCCCATGTTATAAAGGACCAATTATAGATTTACTCTTTGGAAAACCCACTTGCTGCAAAAGTTATCCCTGTGGATGTCCCCAATCACGCATCTTTCATGGGCCATAGGAAATAATTGGTGGGAGTGCGATGCATGTAAGCGCATCCTTCTCTTTGGATCGTAGTCCCAATGGGCCCTCAAGTGGTCGTTTGGCACATAAACGGTGAGAGGACCGTTCTGATCCCTGCAACCATTTAATGGTGGTTTCCCATTCAATGAAAAAAGCATGATATAAATTCCTAATTTCGAAAAGTATTTCCTATCAATAAAATATAAGTTTGGCGAACACGACTTTTGAAATATGAATAGAAATCGTGTTCGCGAAACACGAGTTTGAAATATTAATTAAAATCGTGTTTGCTGAATACGAGTTGCTTCAGATTCCCCATCACCCCAAGTTGGTCAAATTCGTGTTCGCTGAACACAAGTGCCTTTGACTATATAATCCGGGATCGATAAACACGATTTCATAGAAAAATTTGGGATTCCTTGTCTTGAAGTTTTTGATTTTTTTTATGCTAATGATAAAAGGTACTCCATCCATTCTAAATTATTTGCAACGTTTGCTTTTTCAGCAGTCGTGGAAATTTTTGTTTATTTCTACGTTTTCATGAGTTATTTGATAAAATCAAATATTCTTGACACCTCTTATTTCGAAGAACTTTACATGTAGTTTTTTGATATGTATATTTTATCTCTATACCAATATGTAAATAAAATGAATTGAAAAATCTATATATTTTGTCTCAGAAATATAAGTGTGACCAATATTTAGGGACGGAGAGAGTATGTTTTTTTATTGGGAGTTGATATCTACACTACATGATTTACTAATGGCACTTCACATTTTATATTTTTTAGAGATATGTTAGGAGTACACCAAAGGTGTACCCCAAAGGTACTCCATCCCTCTCTTTACCATTCATTTTATTTTATTTTTATTTTTTATTTCTTTTTGAAGTTTTCTTATGTTTTTGTGGTGATGGAGGGGATGGAGGACGTTTGGGGTACATTTTTGGTGTACCCCTAAAATGTTCCTATTTTTTTAATAGATGGACAATAATAACCTTTTAAGTAGAAGACCCCATCATCATTCTACATTTCTACTTCATTTGATTTACCCCATTACTTCTGATGGGTAATAACCCATGAATTCCATTTGGTAGGTTCGTACCGACCTGAAGGTATCAAATTCAATGCCCTATGACCCGGTTGACCCAAGCAGTCTGACCAGTCTGGGATGGGAAGATTCGGATTCACAAACATGGTTTCATCTGATGAAGGCATGCAAGCTAACCGGTTAGGGACTGACCGGCTAGAGGGGCGGAGAAGTGCTTAGTAATTATTATAAATATGACTAAAAGTCTCATTTGTGGGACATGCTTTAATTAATCCATACGGGTAATAGCTTGTAAACAGTCCTACAATCATTAATAACAAATCGGGCTAGAGGTATTTGCACCTACAGTCCTTTCGCTCATTACCACTTGATATTTACACGGTATTTATACCATCAATTTCTATCGTAATTTATTCATGGATCGTTACCACTTAATTGTGTGCTCCAAATGAAGCCTGGTTTTAATTAGGGGGGGCACAGATCTGGATGGACTGGATTTAGGTTGTTCCACGTCTTATCCTGTTATATATAAATGGTCCGGATTACAATCTTATTCCGGTTTATCCCATAAAACTTGGAATCGGAACAAACTGGGTAGGGGTGTAAACGGATAATATCCGTGACGGATATGGCATATCCGAATCCGTATCCGTTTAAGTTTAGGAATATCCGAATTCGTATCCGTATCCGGCGGAAATTTACTATACTATATCCAAATCCATACCCGACGGATAATTATCAGTTTCGGATATATCCGAATCCGATTAGATATCTGAAAGTAACCGAATATCCGAATACTATTAGATATCCGAGAGTAATCGAATCCAAAAATATCCGAGTCCATTTTCACCCACTTCACAGAGATTGTGGAGATGGATTTTCGCCCAATTCTAGTTTTGCTTTGCTTTTGGTAGCTTTGCTTTTGGTTGCTCTTTGGTGGTCACGGGGCTTTCGAGTTCTTTAGCAACAGAATCACTCTCTAACTCGGCAGCTTCCATCTCCACTTTTGCCATGTCATTCGTTGCCTTTTTTTATCCAGCCAAACACACACAAATTACAAAGAAAAGCAATGAGAAGTGTGAGCTATATGAAAAACAAGATATTGAAGAAATGGAAGGATTTTCTTTTTTTTAAAAAGGGAAGGAAGTAGCCACATTGAAGAATATTGAATAAATGAAAAATCATCAAGAAGGACAAAACCGTCAAATAGCAAACCCAATACATTGTGCAATGAATAGGCGGTTTCTCCAAAATACTCCAACAAACATTTCACAATAATACCCCGATGAGATAATCTCTGTCGCAAAAATGCTCCAAAGATAATATTGTTTATCCTCTATTATTTGTATGAATACTGATTAGCTCCTTCATCAGCACCAAATCCAAATGTCTACCACTGCATTTTCAGAGCATTTTCTACACTTGTTACCGTCTTCATCGCATCTCCAATTTTCCATTAAATGGAGAAACTTAGGTGGGTCCAGTAAATGGAGAATCTTGAGTGGCTGGAAGAGTTATTTCATGGGTGGGGGAGTAAGGTGGGTGGGGCGATGTAAATTATTTAAGCTATAAAGGGTAAAGTTGGGAATGTGTGTGATTCTTTTTACCATAAACGGAAGGTGGATAAATACCATGGGACGGCCCAAAATGGAATTGTGGACAAATACTTAGGGATGGAGGAAGTACTCTGCAGCTTAACCATCTTACAATAACAATCTCAAAAGCTCAGGTGCATAAAAATGCTCCCAAGCAGTGAAGGAATTGGTGAGGGGAAATAAACAAAATCAACAAAAGATAAAACATAAAACATAATGAAGGGACGAATTCCACTATCAATGGAGCTTTTTGTGACATGGGCAATCTCCTGAGAGTATTCTTGTGCAACATTGATTGTGGTGGTATTCAGAGTTGGGAATATTCATGTATATTTTCCATTAATTTTTATTACACATATAATTTATCTTCACTGCATACTGCATAGTGATTTATTATTTTATGTCTAAACACATGTTTGACTTCTTTTGCACAAATTTTTTTGCTAAAGAATGAATTACCTTGTGTTTGTGAAATTCACTCCGCCCATCATGCAATCCTGCATCAACAATAATGAAAATATCATCAACCCCAAATTTAATATGTAGCACAATGGATCAAGACTCTTTACATTTTCCCAAGATTATTATTATGTTGTCAAAAGAATTGCTTCTTAGTCAGAGGAGTAGAGACAGACCAAACCTCAAAATGAGCAAACCAATTGCGAACGATGAGAGAGAGGATGCTTCCATTAGATCCTTGATGCATTTTATGACCGAAACATTTTTGGAGATAAGAAGCAATACTAACCATAGTCACATAAATCGCGGTACGCTTCGGTACGGGTACGCGGTACGGGTACGAAATTCGCTAGATGTAACGAATTCGGTACGAAGGGGGGTAGGTTCATTTCGGTACGAAGTGGTACGAAGCGGTACGGTGTACCATGTATTCGGTTCGGTGTACCAAAAGTCAAAGCATAAGTAAACAAAAATAGATAAGATGAGCATAAGTGCATAACATTACAAAATCCAATTGAAAAACAAGACATCATCTAAAAATTACTGGATATTGAGGACTTTAGATTGGGTTGTGGTTACTGGTTAGACTTGAGAGACATATATATGTATATTTGGAGACTGCCTAGGAAAAAACGAAACATTAAAGGGAGAAGTCAGAGAACAATCGAGAAAGGCACGGAGACTATGAACGACTCGCACGGAACTTGGGGAAGTGCAATCGCGAATTGACCTTTTCAATTTACGGAGAAAACAATCGCTTGGAAGAGGGAAGGTCGCGAGAGAGACGAAATTGCGATTTGGATCGCTGGACCGCCGGCGATTGGTACTCCGTATTATCCGACTTGGTGCGACGTTCTAGGGCATCTGGATCGCCGGCGAATTGCGAATTGGAGCGCCGTACCACACCGAATTGGATCGCCGTACCGGTGGCGATCGGTTCGCCGGCGACTTGCGATCCGGTACGATTCGTACCAATTCGGAAATCGCGGCTAGGTAAGCGAATTCTGTAACTATGATACTAACATTTCAGAAGCACTATTACATACAAGTTCCCCTAGTTACCCACTAACCCTTCATCATCAAACCACATTGTGCCGCTGCTTTCAAGAAATCTTTCAATATTGGACATAAAGTCACTGAATGCTACAAATAGATTAATATCTTAGCTAACCTGCTGTTCATGCTTGATCCATCAATCAGAGGCCACTACTAAAGATTATCATAAAAACTGGCTGTAACACTCCTCATTCTCCTCAATTGACCAACACCAAACATATTAATTGGGTAGTTAAACTCCGTATCTTATTAACCTATCATTCTTTATTATAATATGGGACCAAAGTAGTCAAACTCGATTATGTGTGTGTGTTTATATATACAAACACACACACACACACACATATCTGTGTGTGTGTGTGTATATACACACACACACCAAAGTGCCTAACCCAACAACTCCATCTGAGTTCAGGCCAATATCATGTTGTAACACCATTTACAAAGTGATCTCAAAGCTGATACAAAGTGATCTCAAAGCTGATATGTTTGAGACTAAAGAAAGTGATACAAAGTGATCTTAAAGCTTCATATATGTAGCAAATTGTAAATTCGTTTATGTGATTTTTTGATTGATGTTTATAAACTAAATATTACTTGTCAAAATTGATTGATCAAGGAAGGCCATGCATGTTTTCTTACTCTAATTTGCATGATTTTATGTGTTAGTATTTATAAACATTATAAGTATTGAATGGATTAGGAATTGGATCTTACTCTGTGTTCCGTGTTTTTCCCAATGTCAGACAGTAGCACGATGTCATCCATGCGGCAGCCTGCTACCACCTCATGCATAGGTTTCTACAACCGCTGACGGTAGACGGTAGTAAGTGAACAATGTTTTTTATACCCAAAACTAGGCTGCTAATTGTTAGATGTGTATTCTTATGAATTGTATTATGTGTATGTATGAATTTGAGAATATGGAATTATGAACCTGGATACGGATTAGAAAGAGAAACCGAATAAGAATACAATTAGAAATTACTCGTCATGTGATGAGCCGGCGCGTACGCATGATCAGTTGGGTAAAGCGTGCGCACAGGGGTTGTGGATCTACTAATGGATGTGAGTAGGTAGTCCCACCAATCCAACGTTGGAAGATGTCATATCGTGTCGGTACTTCCATGGATGTGGTTGAATCAGGACTCTATAACAAAAATTGGTCTTAGCTTAGGATTACTTATGAGCTTAGAATTAAAGAAGATTGATAATTAACTTCATTTATAGATTATGAGACAACGAGGTAAATTTGGTAATATAAGTAAGAAGGTTTGACTTGTGATTTGTTGTTATTACTTGATGTTGTTAAGTGATATTATTTGTGCAAAGAATAAATGATTATGTATAACGAAATAACTCCATGTGCAACTTCTACTTTTAGAACCTCTCACTCAGTGTGAAAGTTGAGCGTGAAGTCTTGTTTTACTTGCTACACGAGTGGCTTGGTGATGGGGCTCAACTTGAGGCATGGCTTAGGCAAGTGTTGCTTCGAGTGGAAGTCACGAAATGGCTAAGGACTCATGGCCAAGGGGCATGGCAGTTACGCTGGCTAGACAAGATTGACTGTTGGCATTTGAATTTCAAAACAGCAGTTGGCTTTTTGAATTAACCAGGGGCAGTTAGCACTGGTGACCCTTCGTGAAGGATCATGTCTGGCTAGATAGTTGGCCTGTAACCATCACATTTTTCTTTAAAATATTAATGCCCATGGCATGTGTTGGCCAAGAGGGTGAAAGAACAAAGCCTGTTCGTCTAGTCATGTGTATTATACGAGATTAATACAAAGCCATACGGGAGCAAAAAACGTGAGTGAAAAATCAGCCTCGTAACAGTTTGTATCCCCTCTAAGGCATGGGCACAACGACTGACATTAACGATTTAAGTTTCCGCACTGTTTTGATATTACTCCAATAGATGTTTTAAATAATATTTTGGATTATTTATTTTAAATAGTTTTGAAAAATATTATGTTTAGAAATTGATATAGTGACAATTCAATTCGCTAGTCCACGTATTTGGATTGCGAGGGTTAATATTACATAATTACTCTGTTTTTCCTTAAACGAAATACACCATTTATTTAGCATGTAAATTTTTATGGATTCTGAAATGAATTTATTTACAAACTAGTATAAAATAAAAATAAAAAATTATATATTTAAACATTACATCGAAAATTTTACAAAAGATAACAAGAATATTTTATTTTTTTAAAATTAATAAAAATATCTAAATAAACAAAAGTTATTGAAAGAATTGATAGTAATAAGATAAATTTTTGGACAAAGTTAGGATGTTATAATAGGGAAAACAAAAATAAAATTCTCGTAGATATATTTCATGAACCCAAACATCCTTGTTATGGAAGACACATTTCAAACTCTCTTCATTTCTAACATCCCCTCTTAAAGGTGGAGATTGTGTACAAAGATTTGAAAACCAAATTATTAGTTTCATGATCTGATGTGTACATTGTCGGCTATCACTTTAGGAATCAGTTGTATGCTTTTAAAGGAGCAAATTTTAGAGTTGAAGAATCTGTGGTTTTGCAAAACTCCTTCACTAGATATCAAAAAGATATTACTCGAACTGAAAAATACACTTGTTGAGATAAACAGTGAAAATGAAGATACAAGGAAGAAATTTAAGTGAAGCTGTGCGGTTTTACCCAATTCAAAGCCAATTTTTGAAAGGGATGAAATTAGGGGATAAGAAGTACTTGGATAAGCCAATTGAGAGGGAACAAATGTTGTTTAATTGGGTTAATTCTCTTCTTGATCCTCACAAGGTGGATAAGAAGAGCTTGTTGAAGAAGATGTTCGGTATGTTATGGGATGTGAGTGTGGTTTGAAGGATTTTGTATGTAGTTAGTTTATTTGGTCTTCAATTTATTTTGGTTTTTAATTTTCAGAGTCATTGATTATGGTGATATAAAACCTAATAAAAAATGGAAGTTTGATCTTAATTCATCTCGCCTTACGCCCGGTGATCGTTTCAATGAGGTTATAAATTGGTTGCGCACTAAGTGTGGGAAGATTCGTGTTGGTAGTATTTTAGAAACTAGGAGGGGAGGGTATAAGCATCCCCTCTTAGAGGTGGAGATTGTGTACAAAGATTTGAAGACCAAACTATTAGTTTCTCGATTTGATGTGTACATTGTCGGCTATCAATTTAGGAATCAGTGGTATGCCCTTAAAGGAGCAAATTTTAGAGCTGAAGGATCTGGGGTTTTGCAAAACTACTTCACTAGATATCAAAAATATATTACTCGAAACTTAGGTGCAGGCAGTCTGAAAAATGCACTGGTTGAGATAAACTGTGAAAATGAAGACACAAGAAAGATTGGGTTGGAATGTTTTTTTGTACATTTAAGTGAAGCTGTGTGGTTTTACCCAATTCAAAACCAAACTTTGAAAGAGATAAAATTGGGGAATAAAAAGTACTCCAATAGAGAGGGAACAAAGATTGTTTGATTCGGTTAATTCTCCTGTTGATCCTCGCAAAGTGGATGATATATGGCGATTGATTTCAAGTGGTTCCCCTGATATGTCTGGTGATGTAACAACTTTGATTTTCTGTTTGATTTGGTTCGAAGCTAGGACAAGCTTTTGAATGACAGGGATTAGTATTATGTCAATCCTGAAGGTTTGGTAATACATCATTCAGTCACAGTTTTGAGAAGTGTAATGTCCAGAACATCAAGTGTTGAAGAATGTATTGGGCTTATTGTGTTCTACCTCTAAACTTACTTCATCTTTTAAAGGAGAACCAGAGAGTTTTTTGAGAAAAAAGGTACAACCCATAAAGCATGAGCCATCTATTTCCATGAAAAAAGCGCAAGTAAGACGAAGAGTTTGACAAAATGTAATTTTACTGTTAACCTTTCTTCTTCTTGAAAATGGACGGCTCAATCTTAAGTGTGGTGTCTTTTTTCTCCAAAAACTCTCTGGTTCTTTAAGAAATGAAGTAAGGTCACACGTAGAACACAATAAGCTCAATACATTCTTCAAAGCATGAAGATTCTAGACATTACGTTTCTCAAAGTTGTGACTGAATGATGTATAATCAAAACCTTCAGGATCGACACAATAACTATACCAGGCATTCGAAAGCTTGTCCTAGGTCCGAACCAAATAAAAAAACCAAAACTTTTAACATCACCAAAAAAATCAAGAGAACCAGTGAAAACCAATCACAGTATATCATCCACCTTGTGAGGATCAACAGAAGAATTAACCCAATCAAACAACATTTGTCCCCTCTCAATTGGCTAATCCAATTACTTCTTATCCCCCAATTTTATCCCTTTCAAAACTTGGCTTTGAATTGGGTAAAATCGCACAGCTTCACATAAATGCACAAAAAAACATTCCAACCCAATCTACCTTGTGTCTTCATTTTCAGTGTTCATACAACAAGCACATTTTTCAGACTTCTTGCATCTAAGTTTCGAGTAATATTTTTTTAATATCTAGTCAAGAAGTTTTGCAAAACCACGATCCTTCAACTCGAAAATTTGCTCCTTTAAGGGCATACCACTGATTCCTAAATTCATAGCCAACAATGTACACATCAGATCGAGAAACTAATAGTTTGGTCTTCAAATCTTTGTACACAATCTCCACCTCTAAGAGGGGATGCTTATACCCTCCCCTCCTAGTTTCTAAAATACTACCAACACGAATCTTCCCACGCTTAGTGCGCAACCAATTTATAACCTCATTGAAACAATCATCAGGCGTAAGGCGAGATTAATTAAGATCAAACTTCCATTTTTTATTAGGTTTTATATCACC